TGCAGAACAGGCCCAGGCACACTCAGCCATCTGACCTTTGACAGAGGCACTCAAAGCATACATTGGGGAAAGATATTCGTAAGAACGATGCTGAGAAAAGTGACTATATACATGCAGAAGATTGAAAATAGGCCCATATTCCTCACTTTCTATTAAAATAAAAGTAAAATGGATCAAAGTTCTAGATATTAAAACAGAAATACTGAATCTGCTGGAAGATAAAATGTGTAAAACTCTTAAAGACACAAACAGAGGCAAAGACTTTCTAAGAATAAAAGGTCATAGGCAAAATCTTTCTAACACTTTCTAAGAATCAGAGAATTTCTCAGAATCACAATTGTATGAGAAATAACATCAAGAATCAATACATTGTATTATGCCAAACTAAAAAGCTGCACAGCAGAGGAAACAGCTAACAGTGAAGAGATAACCTACCAAAAGGGAAATAAATTTTGCTCACTGTTTCTCAGGCAGAAGACTCATATCTAGAATATATGAAGGACTAAAAGAATTAGACCCCCAAAATCAAAAGACCCAGCCAATAACTGGGCAACTGAAATTAATACATACTTTACAAATGAAAAAGTAAAAGTGGCCAATAAATACATGAAAAATATTCAACATCTCTGGCCATAACAGAAATACAAATCAAAACAACATTGATACCCCATCTTACTCCAGTAAGGACTATCTTACTTATAGCAGAATAATTTAAAATAGCTAAATTCTGGAAATAACAACAGATATCAACAGATATCAAATACTACCAACAGATGATCGAATAAAGAAAATGTGGTACTATATCTATGTACAGTGAAATATTATTCAGATACACAAAAGGGTAAATTTGAGACATATGTAGAAAAATGGATGCATTTGGAAAATATGATTTGAGTGAGATAAATTAGACACACAAATTTGGATACTATATGGCATTTCTCACCAGAGTAAGGCAAAGTACAAACTAAGAAAAAGCAAGGATAAAACACGCAAGGAGATGGATCTCATACAGATGGGAATGTGTACAAAAGGGTAAAAAGGTAAGGGACAGTGGGGAGAGGATGAAGAAAAAGTGAAAATATTCCAGGTACAAGGTCCTAACTGAATAATGAACGCAGACATTATCTACCATAAACATGAACTAAGATTAGCAGTATCAACAAGAATGAAAAGGAGGAAAGAAGAGCTAAAAGACAAATTGGGGAAGAAAGGGGATTTTAAACAGAAACAAGCTGGGGATAGGTTGAGATGAGTGGAGCAGAGAAGGGAAATAAAAGTGATTAAGATGGAACATAGGTGCCAATTTGAAGATGAATGTAATTATTATGTATTCCAAGCATATACTAAAAAAAAGGATATAGGCAGGAAAGGAAATGACAGTGACAAATTTAGCAAGAGTGACAAAAAATGTATTTGACTAAAACTCTAAAATCTGACTAAAGAACATAAAACAATATGTAAGGAAATGGAATAATATATTGTATTCTTGAATGAGATTTCTATAATAAAATACAAAAATGTGAATTTTCCAAAATTTAGCATAGAAATATAATGCAATCTAATCAGACATTCTATGGAAATTTAAATTTAAAAATATTATCTTAAAGTTTGGTACAGGGTCTCACTATGCAGCTTGGACTCATAGTGATCCTCCTGTCTCTGCCTCCCTAGCACTGGGATTATAGGCATGCACAACTACTCTAGTTTCAGTGGCCAGCTCAGCAGTGGCCGGTTGGCATGCTGTACTGGGGATTGAGCCGGGTCCTTGAACATGCCAGGCATGCATGTAGGCTGCCAACCTATTTCCCTGGCCCTATCTTACAGTTTATGTGGAAGACCAAATGTCTGGAAATATATCAGAACGGTGTAAAGGTTAGAGAGAAAACAACTTTGACTACAGCTCTATTAGAGCCTTTGAATTATAGGTAAAAAATATAACTTCAAGTTCGAAAGGAAGGATAAATGCCTATCAAATGTATATTTAAATGTAAGAACAGTGGAAAAAGAAAAAAACACCTAAGAATGTACTAATAAATCATTATAATGCTAAAATAATATTATTTTAATGGTACATCAAATAAATTAGTAAAGCAGAAGACAACACGGTAATAGATGTTACAATATAATAATACATCTTAACATACAGTGGTTATACTACGTAGGAAAACAATGGCTTACTTAATGCATAATACTGATGCATCTCCTTGCAAAAGGGTAAAAATCTAGCCCCCTAAATCCTATGTCATATAAAAATATAATTCTTTGTGTGTTAATGACTTAAACAACTGTTTAAACCAGGACTCATCAGAAACAATATGGAGCATCATTCGCTCATATGAAAATGGAAACCTTTGACATGGCAAAATTTAGCATAAAAAGCCATCAGACAAGTTATATATTAGAGAAAACTGATTATAAAACATAGTTAATATCTATACTATACAAACTGAAAAGTTACTGGGAGAAGCCCTAATAATGCAATTGAAAAATGTCAAAATCTATGAATAGGTAATTCATAGAAGAATTCACTTTGGGTTTTAAGTGATAATTACCTAAGTGATAGTTCACCTTATCATTTAAAATTTTATCTGAGCTCACATTTTTGTTTGATTTCATATTTCTACAGAAGTCATGTGATGACTCCTTTTCTTCTCTTCCAGCACCAGCTTCTCTTCAGGTTTTCCTGGTTTGTAAAATGATCCCATCCACCATGATATTTGAAACACCTACATTCATTACTGAAGATCAGTTTCTCTAACATGCTGCTTTCATCGTACCATGCTCTTCACAGCCAGCTTATGGTGACTCTTGGCTCCTCTGAGTGAAGACCCAGGTCTAGGCCTACTGCCAGGACACTCATTCCTCTGAGAAATTTGAAAATCTTGCCCAGATGTCTTAAACATAAATTTTAATCTTTTGATTTGGAAAAATGCAAGATTGACTAAAGCATACGATTAATTTTTGGAAGGACATAGACAAAAAAGTCTTAGAACACTAGACTTGACAATGCTTGCTTGGGTATGCAAAAGCACAGGCAACAAAAGCAAAAACACACAAAAGACTAGATCAACCTTTCACATACAAGGAACACAATCAACAGGCAACCTATGGAATGGGACAGTCTTATATCTGATAAGGTGCTAACATCTAGGAATTATGAGGAACTTTTGTAATTCAACAATAACAACAAAACCCCAAATAACTGGATTTTTTAAGTGGGCAAAGGACTTGAACAGATTATTCACCAAGGAAGATACTTAAATGACCAATAAAAGGTAACAATTGGATGAAAATGCAGACAAACTAGAACTCTGACATGCTTTTAGTGGAAATGTAAAATAATAAAGGGGGGCCCAGCTGAATAGTGGATTAAAATGCCTGCTTAGGCAGACTTCGGGGCCAGGGGTTCAATCCCCCAGCATATCGTGCCGGCCCCACCCCCAGAGTGGTCTGAAACTGCGATTGAGACTGGGTGTGGTGGCGCATGCCTGTAATCTCAGCACTTGGGAGGCTGTAAACAGGAGGATCACTACAAATCCGATCTATGTAGTGAGACCCTGGAGACCCTGTCCTAAATACAAAAATAAATAAATAAATAAATTTTAAAAACGATAAAGGGCACCATATACCTAATGATATAGAAAAAATATGGATGTTGCTTATATGTTCCAGCAATCCCAATCCTACACACACATCCAGAACTCAAAGCAAGGTCTTGAAGAGATTCATGCATGCCCATATTCCTTGGAGCACTATATACAATAGTGAAAAGGAAGAAACAACCCAAATGTCCATTGCCAAATGAATAAAGAACACATGGCATTTAGATATACACTGCAATACTATTCATCCATAAAAAGAAGTAAATCTTGACATTTGTGACAATATGGATGAACTTGGACAATACTGAGTTAAGTGAAACAAGCCAGAGACAGAACAACCAATACTATATAATCTCACCTACATGTAGAATCTAAAAGTAAAACTCAGATTAAACTCAAAGAAACAAAACACACATGTGGCTGACTAGGGCAGGGAGGAGAGAAAATTAGTGGTTAGTGGGTATCAAGTTTCAGTTTTACAATATAAAAAAGTTTCACAGGGGCTAGGGAAATAGCTCAGCAGCATAAGTGTCTGCCTGGCAAGCGCAAGGTCTCAAATTTGATCCCTGGTAGTGCATGCCACGCAGGCTCCGGAATTCCAGGGGCCCCAGACTCCTGGGGATCCCCAAACCTGGTGGTGGCAAGTACCTGTAATCCCAGCACTAAAAGAGGCTGAGACAGGAGGATCACTACGAGTCCGAACAAGAGGATCACTATGAATCTGATCTGAACTGTATATTGAGACCCTGTATGCAAAAAAAAAAAAAAAAAAAAGAACGGAGGATGTGTTTCAGTGTAAAGGCCCAGGTTTCAATTCCTAGTACCTCCACTGATACAAAAAAAAAAAAAAAAAAAGGTTCACAGATCTGTTGCATAAAATGTAAATAAGCCTTAAAACTACAGAACTGTGTACAGTACACTTGAAAAGTTTTGAAAAAGTACACTATGTCATATGACTTTTGTCACAGTAAGTATGAAGAACACTATTAATAGCTGTATGTTCAACATCAACCTTTAAAAACCTCATCAAATCGCTTCATAATTTTTAAATTTTAGAAATAAAGTATTACTAATAAAATAAAAATTTGGATTTACCAAAATATTAGTTCACTGAGCATAATAATATAACAAACTACATTCTACTTTGTTTTTCTAAAATCTTATATTTGAAGTATCTTTACTACCCCCACTAATAGCAAAATTGGAAGGAAGAAAGAAAACATCAATCACACACAGTTACCACTATGTCATATGACTTTTGTCACCCAATAGCTTCTATTAGGTATGTTTGCAAGACAACTTAATTAAGAAAAGATTTTGTGATTATAAGAAAAATTTAAGACATTCTCTTATTGTGTGTGATCAGTTGCTAATAAGACAAACTAGAGTTCACTTTACCTAGTACTTCTTTCTCCAGACCGTAGCATTTGGACTGCAGGTTTACTTCCCGTTCTCTCGATGCCGCGGCCTGCTGAGATTTCAACATGGCTGCATCTGACAGCAACTTGAGAGTTTTTATTTCCTCTTCAAGACATTCCTTATTTTTCTGGGATACTGCCAAACTTTTATTTAATGTATCTATTTCTGTAAGGAAAATGCAAAGCTTACAAATAGGCAACACTGAATCATAAATTATACTTCTCTAAAAAATGAGTTTCTTTAGGAAAATAGTTGAAAGCCAAGACATCTTTTCTTTTTTAAAATTTTATGGAAGAAAAGTAGAACAATAATTCATAACAGAATGTTAGGAAAATAATATATTGTGTATTGTTATCGTTAAAGCAGTTACTCAGAGTAGACGATATAGGCATAAAAAGTCCCCATTTGATATTAGCACAAATCTTCCTTTTCAATAAAACTAAGAGACAGTAGTAGTATAATTAATTTGAATTTTTTTTGTTTTCCTTTCCTTTCACCTTTCCCCTACCCTAGTTCCTTTTTCCTTTCAAGCAATTTCTTCCTATTTCACAGTATATACTATACACTTTATATTTTGCTTACTCTTTCCTTTGTATCTCATGGGGGGAATGTTTAAATGTGAGTCTGATTTATTTTACTTATTAGTATGGTTTCAAGTTTTACCCATTTACCTACAAAAGTCTCAAGCTTTTCTGTCTTTATGACTGAGTAGTATTTTATTGTATGTAAAAAAGACCACTTCTTTTTTATCCATTCCTCAAGCAGTGGGCATTTGGGTTTTTCCCAATGTTTACATATTACAAAGCGTGCTTTTATAAACATGGGTGCATACATATCACTGTGGTATGATTTTTTAATTCTTTTGGAAAGATACCCTGAAGGGGAAAGCTGGGTTCAATGGGAATTATAACCCTATTTTTTTGAGAAATTTCCATACTGATTTCCACAGTGTAGAAAACAGTTGAAAGCCAAGACATCTTTTCTGAGATTATAGTGATATCTAACTGAAAGGTTAAATTTAAATTCAGGCCAGGTGTGGTGGTGCATGCTTGTAAGCCCAGCACTCTTTCTGAGTCTGAGGCAGGAGGGTCCACATGACCCTCCTCATCTACATAATGAAACTCTGTCTCAAAAATAAGTAAATAAATTTAAATTTGGTAGTACGTGGGAAAACAGGTTGTATTGTTAAATGATAGATGAAATATTTTAGTAGTCATTTCTTAGCTTTTAAATTATCCCAAATGACAATACAGTCAACTTTTTAAATACTCCCATAAATGAATTAGAATATCTGTGTAACATTTGGAATTTTATTGAAATTATATTGTTGTCTTGCTAATATGATTTAGAAAAGTGAATTGAAATGTTGGGTAATAGTTCTAAGGTAGAAACTAAGATATACTTTATACAATTATGAAGAAAAGTATGAGTAGAGAAAGACTAGAAAGATGCAATATCTAGAACTAATAAATTTATGGCAGAAATAATTTATTAGTTAATAAATAATTTTAATATTTATAATAGTATGCTGCCCCACAAGAGACCAGAAGTTACCACAGCAATTACCTATCATCATCCTTAAAATTTAACAAGAATGTGTATACAGGTCTACTTAGATTTTAATGTGCTAATTCTGTATAATTTTTTGAGAAATCCATGGAATATGTTCATCAAAATGATTATCAATAATTTCTTCACGAATATTTTCAACTCTGCTGCCATAAATAATCATTAAAATATGTGAACACACATATAAACAATACTATAAAATTTTTACATCTACAACTAGTTTAAGTAATGAGGATGTGAGCTTTGTAAAACTAAGGCATTTTCCAGAGAGTTCACCTGGCATCCCCTCCTCTGCTACCCCACCCTGGGCTGTGGGATGGACCCAGGAATGACTGGAAGTCTAGCAGGCTGGGCTTGGTTTACCGCTGCTATGGTCATCACAAAAGAATGGTAGCCACGTGGACCAGGAAAGGCCAGCAGTAGAGGTAAATAGGACAGACATGGCAGCAAAAACAACATAGCCAGCAACCCACCAGGGGAAAAGAAAGACAGCGAGCTGGAGCAAAGTGAGACCAAGAATGTCGCCTAGCCAAGCACAGTGGCACAAACCTTAAATCCAAGCTACCCCAGAGGCAGGAGAATCACATTCTGAGGCTAGCCTGGGCAACTCAGTGAAACCCTACCCCAAAACAAGAAATATACAATGTTGGAGATGTAGCTTAGTGATAAAGCACCCTTGGGTTTTGTTCCCAGTACCAAGAACTGCACCACAGCAAACCAGACCAGCCTCCCTGCAAACAGCAAGTACAATCAAAGAATGTGGTCCAAAGAAGCGTTTTTCAGGGCCAGCCAAATAGCTCAGTGGATTAAAGCACCTGCAAGCAGGCGCAGGGACCAGGAGTTCGATCCCTGGACCTGCTGTGTTGGACCTGCCTCAGGGATGTGCTGAGACTACAATTGAGGCTAGGTGTGGTGGCATGAGCCTGTGATCCCAGCTCTTGGGAGGCTGTAAACAGGTGGATCACTATGCATCTGATCTAGTAGTGACACCCTGAACACCCTTCCCTAAAATAAAAAAAAAGTATCTTTCTATGGTTGAATAGACTTGCCACACTGTTACTGTACTGTCTGCATTGGAGTGGGAATGACAGACAGTAGTCTGCATATATAGTGACCAACTGTTTACTAAAATGACAGTTTATGTTAGCACGATGCCTCTGTTAATGAGCACAAATATACCTAAAATAATTAGTCACATTAAGTCTGACTTTATGTCTGACATTAAAAGAGTAAGAATCTGCAATACAAACTGATCTGTAAAAATATATTATAATGTATGGAAAAGTACAGCAAGATGTCAAAACTAAAGAAAGCTACATTTCCAACATGGAATTAGGAAAGTAAACTCAATAGGGGTTATCTAACTCACCCTTACAACTAAACACTCTTGTATCTATGACAACCCTAGTTGCAAAGATTCAATCCTTCCTTTGGCTATTTTTTTTTAAACGTGGAAATAATTATACATTTACATGAAGCTGCAAATAAATGTATAGAGAGGTTCTCTTCTTTAACCCCACTACCACGTGGATAATTTGGATAACTGTAGTATACTATCAAAACCAGAAAATTTATATCAGTATAATCTACAGAATTTATTCAGATTTCACGACTTCACTATAGGTACATGTTCTTCTATGCAAATGTATCATACATGTAAATTCATGTAACTACTACCACAGTCATAACACAACATTGTATCACCAAAAACCTTACTCCTGTCACTGCTTTAGAGAAAAATTTTTCAGTATTTGTTCCCATCATTTCTTTCTGCTGCTTCTTTTTTTTATATTTAGTACAGGGTCTACAGGGTCTTACTACGTAGATCAGACTCATACTATTCTCCTGTTTTCAGCCTCCCAAGCGTGAGATAGCATGGCATGCATGGGATCGAACTCCTGCCATTGCACTTTGCTTAAGCAGGCACTTTAGTCTGCTGAGCTATCGGGCTAGGACTTGTTCCCATCATTTCTAATCCCTGGAAATTGCTAATCTGTTATCTACATCTATAAATTTTATTTTCAAAGTGCCATATAAATGGAATAATATATGAAGTAATCTTTTGAAATTGTTTTCTTTTCACTCAGCAACATTTTCTTCAGATTCATTTTTGTTTCCTGAATAGTCACATATGGAGTATATGGAGTGGATGTAGCAATCTGTCCTCCAGCCACTGAAGGATACTTGAGCTGTCTCCAGCTTTTGGCTCTTATGAATAAAACTGCTAGGAACATTTACCTACAAGTTCTTTCTTTTTGGAACATAAGTCTCCACTTCCATTGTAAATATGTCCCAGAGCTGCTGTGTTATGAGGGAAGTACATTCTTAGTTTTAGAGGATATTGTGGAATTATTTTCTAGAATGATTTTATCATTTTACAGTCCTGCTGGAAATGTTGAGTGATCTAATTTTTCTGATCTTCTCAATACTTGGTATG